ATAAAATCCACTGAACAGTAAAAAAAAAAAATCCGTCTAAATCAATCTCCGCGAGTTTACATATTAGCAGGGAGCATTCCACGCGGAAGCCACAAGTAGACAAGATACAATGTGGTGTCTGCCACCAGAAGAGACAGAATAAGATGGGGATTAAGAAGAAGGACTTCTGATTAGAGTCAAAGTGATTGGATGACGTTGTGGATATTTGAGCTGAGGTTCAGTTCAAGTGGTACAAGAAGGAAGGCATTTCAGGTGGGAGAGATTTCACAGAGATGAGGAATTGGGCAGATGTGAGACTCCGGGCGAGTGTTCAGTTGGGACCGAACACAAGCTGTGGATGTGGAATCAGCAGGAATGAAAGATGGAAGGTGCCGAGGTCTTAATTTCCTGCTGAGCCATGGACAGGGCATGGCTGACCACAGGCAGGCTTGGAACAGGGCCTACGATGATCTGAGGGGGAGCTTTAAGGCGATTAATCTCGGCAGTGGTAGATAAAACGGATTAGATTGGAGGGAGATTGGAAAGCATTTAGGAGGCTGTTGAAATCGTAGAGGGCAGTGGGAATGGGAATCTGAAATAACTGTGCTGCCACGCAATGGGAACTGAAAGCTTGGATTCAAGAGGTCTTAGCAAGTGACAGTCAAGTCACTCCATTATCCAGAAGTGGAGGTAAAGTAAGGTTGGGGTGCTTCCCCCCCACACTGGTAACTCACATTTGCCATTTCTGAAGAACTAGACATTTTTTTATTACATAATATAAGAATGTAGCAGTGTCACAATTGACATGCTCAATGAGAGCTTTCAAATTTTCTATTTAATGCTATTCTAAAATGTTTTTCCTGGTATTTTTAGCCAAAAAAAATTAGTTGAAAAATGAATATAGGCATTGAGTACAATTCCAAACTATCTAAATGGTATATAAAATGAAACTTCGCATGTCTTCTAAAATGCTTTCTTTGTTCAGTGTTGGGGAAGTAACCACACTTTCTAATCTACGATTTCCATGAGTTCTGTGCGTTTAAAAACCTGTATTCAAGTTCATAACCTCCCCTTCTGCCATTTGACTCCATATGCTCCCTTTCAGGCCTTTCATGCTTTCTGAGTCCACAGGACTTTCTCTACTTCTGCACTATAGATATTCGGGCCAAGCTCATTTGTATGGAGTTTCTGTGTCAATTGTTGCTTCGTAGCATCCCTGGACTCTTCCCACCATACGAACTGCCTCCAAGCCAAACCTCACTCTCATCAAGTAACCCTCAACTCACAGTGGCCCTCCAGATTTCTAAGGATGTAGATCTTCATGAGAGGAGACTATTCATCCAGTGTATTTGAACTGCTGGCATTTCAGTTAACAACCTGATCCTTTATGCACTATGTACTGGAGACACTGCCAGATGTGCCCGAAAGAGAAACATCTTGGGCCAACAAGGTTTTCATCAGTTGGAGAAGCAAAAAAACCCCTAGAATGTTGTAATGGATACAAGCTATCCAAAGAAGAGCACGTGGTGTTCAAATAATGCAGAGGAGGAAAATGCTACAGGATTTAGAGGAAGCACAGAGGCTATTTTTACAGTGTTGTCAATAGTTTTTGAATGACTGAATCATACGTGTGTGTGTGTGAGAGAGAGAGAGAGAGAGAGAAAGAAGAGAGGAGAGAGAGGAGAGAGAGAGGAGAGAGAAGAGAGAAAGAGGAGAAAGAGAGAGAGGAGAGAGAGAGAGAAAGAAGAGAGGAGAGAGAGAGAGAGAGAGAGAGAGAGAGAGAGAGAAGAGAGAGAGAGATATGGAGATCAAGAACATAAGAAGATTAAAGTGACAAGTATGTTGGAGCTACTGAGACTCTGGAAGACCAGTAGGTCTAATTTCATAATCTAAGCATTCCCATTGAAATATTTCAGGACTCACTTTATATCTTTCTTCAGGTGATCCTTAAGACCTGAATTAGTGGTGTGAGGATGGCAAATCATGAATGTCTTAATGATGTTTTCAGAAGGGCACGTTTCTAAGAAATGCAACATGTAAGAAAGCTTTTTCTTTTTGCTTCCCTCTGCTTTCCCCTTTGTGGTTGCTCTGTGCCATCGAGTTGCCTATGACTCAAAGCGACCCTATGTACGACAGCTCTGAAGCCTGCCCTGTCCTGGGCCAGTCTCACTGACTCTGACACACATACTCCCAGTGCCCCAGTTACTGTATCGGTCAAGCTCATCTGGGTCTTCCTCTCCTATGCCATCCCTCCACCCTTCCAAGCATGATGTCCTTCTCCAAAGAACAGTCCCTCCTGGACACATGTCCAAAGTATGTGAGATGGAGCTTTAAAATCCTAGCCTCCAAGGAAAAACTTGGGTTCACCCTCTCCAAGACAGATGTGTTTGCTTTCTTGGCATTCCACATTATGTTCAAGACTCTTCTCCAGCACCACAACTCAAAGGCATCAATTCTTCTTCTGTCATCCTTAGTCATCGTCTAGCTTGCTAATGCATAACAAGTAATTGTGAAGACCATGGCCTGGACCAGGCACATCTTAGCCTCTAGAAAAGCATCGCTGCTTCTCAGTATTTAGGAGAGGTTCCTGACAGCAGACTTTCCCAGTGCAGTTTGTCTTTTGATTTCCTGACTGCTGGTACGAAGAGCATTGACTGTAGAGCCAAGCAAGCTGAAGCTGTTAACAATCTGCATCTCTTCTCTGCTCATCTTTCTCCTGTGAGGTATAATCTTTGGGTTAGAATGGATTTCCCTATGAAGTCTGCCCCTAGAGCTGCTTATTCTTATAACCGTTGTTGTTGTGGTTTGAGTTGGACTTGATCCCATTGCTGATCCTCCAGTTAGATTACAGAGGCTGTAAATCACATGGGAGGAGATTGCCCGTATTTCTTTCATGAAGCAACTGATAGATAGAAAGTCATGTCACTGGGTTGGCAAAGGAACTCCTTCCTGCTAGGCTACCAAAACTCCATATCGGTATCACAGACATTTTGAAAAGGACTATTAGTACTTTGGACTGTCAGCTTTTCAAATAAGGGATTATGGTCTCTTTAGGGTATATGGTTATCACAGGAATCCTAAATTAAGGTTGCACAGTGGAGTGCATTCGGGCTGGGAGCATTGGATACCAATGAAGGAGTTTATCTGCTGCTTTTCGAAGGGAGGAGCGAACTGGGGGCGGGGGAGGGGTAGAGAAAAAAGTGCAACAATGAATGGAAATCCAAAATCTCTGTAAATGTTCATTAAAAGAAAAATAACATTTTTTAAAAAAGAAACAAAACAAAAAAAGAGTTTGAAGTTGTGGCATCAAATACATAAGGGTCACCTCATTGCTATAAAATGTGTGATCAGAAAATAATCCACTTAACCTTAAATCTGGGAAGTGAAGCTTTTTTGGATCAGAGATCCATTAAGAATTTATTGGAAGATCCATTATCTTTCTCTATCTCTCTGTATCTCTTCTCTCTCTTCTTTTTTTTTTACAAAGCATATTGGTTTTTCATTAAATCATTGATAGATTTTTTTCCATTCATTCATTTTTGCATTTTTCTCCCTACACACCCCTCCCCCTCCCAATTTGTTCTTCTCTTTGAAAAATGAAAGAAAAATTCTTTCATCATTATACAATCTCTCCCCCCAAGTCCACTCCACAGTCCAGCCTTCATTCTGGACTCCTGTCATGGCAATAATACCTAATCCTGTATTCCTTTTAAACAGGTATCTCCTCTTTTTTATACACGTTGTATCATTGTTAGGTGCTACCGAGTTGAGTACAACTCATAGAGACCCTATGATCAAAAGATCTGAATCCTGTTCTATCCTGTGCTATCCTTTTATACAAATACACCCCAAATACACCCTGTGCAGTACAGCAGTTCTGATGCTACCTCATCGACCTTCCGAAATTCAATCCCTGGGTCCTTCCACTGAAGGTGCAGAAGTTTTTGCTTGAGTTCTTTTTAATGGGAAATTTATCATTAATGAATTGCTCATAAAGAAAATTTACAAATTTAATTTCTTTTGTCATAATACATACCTATTTTAAATGCAAATACTTTATTTTTTTTTAGAAAACAATGTTTATTGAAACTCTCAAAGGTTAAAGAGAACCAATGGTGCATTTGGGTACCATAACAGAAAAATCTCACAGGAATGAACAAAACCAAACATGACAAAATTCACATTTCCATGTAACTGCTACAAGTGAATGTAAATGACATGCAAATAAAATTGAACTTGAATTAGATTCTGTTTTCTTTCTCATGCTCTATAGAAATGTCAAAATATAATCATTATATGAGTTATATTTGTTCACTGGTATCTCATTTCACTGATTAATTTCTTGGAGTTGGCCACATAAGAGTACTTCCAAAAGCATTTTTACATATTCTAAAATTGAGTATTTTAGAATTGTGACATTAGTAGAATGTTCTAATAAAATAATTCAACAGAATTTGCTTGTTGGAATGTATAAGATAATCGCTCAACAGATTAGGGTGCCAGGTATTTGTAAAAGCTCCTTCGAACCCATAATTTTGTATGAGTGCTTAGGGAAAAAAATACACAATTTCACTGGGAATTCATTATTATGTCAAATGTGTTGAGTTATAACAATAAATATTAAGTTATCCTCTCTTCTATTTCCCCCATAGGAGTTATTACAAGAGGACATACTGAGAAAGTTAATCAACATATTTATTGATTATCTAATCTACAAGGCACTGTATCATACAGGATAAGGAATCTAAAGCTTAATAATACAAGCCTCTCTGAGAAGAAATCTATTTTATTCTATATTATGTTTTTTATAATTTAAGATAAGGTAAGGAACAGAACAATATAAACCTAATGTGATAACTATATTTCTGGCTTTCCTTTTAGACATTCAATATATTTCTTATTAGATCTATCTGGCAGGTGATCTTTTACCTGAAAATTCTATCAAAAACAGAGGATTCAACATCTACATTTTAGAAAGCTTTCATGGAACATATTTTTTAAAGTTGATGTTTCTTTCTTACCAGACAGGTCTGTCAAATTTGCATTTTTTATGAAAACTTCAGTTATTCCGAGACCCTTCAAAAGATCTTTTAAATCAATTTCCTGTTCCACTGTGAATCTGGAGAACATATAAGAGGAAAAGTATTTAGTTACAGCAATTTAAATCTCAATCACTTAGAAGAAGAAAAACATGTTAGATACGTTCATTTTTTTTTAGATATGCTGATTTTTTAGAAGAGTGTGAATTATGCTAAAATTGGCTTTTGACAGCAAATAGCATTTGATTGTGCCATGAAAATAAAGTGCCAGCAAAGAGATGATGTAATAAAATTGGAATTAAGTTCTTAAGTGTGTGGGGAAAATATATATAGAGAGACACCATGAGAGATGATGGTTTGTGAAATCAGGACTCATTACTACACAACTCTGTGAGATTGCAAAGAAATTGTTTTCAAAATCATTCAATCTAAGAAGTACATTTTGTTTTTTTAAGATGGCGATGACTAATCCCATATTTACCCATCCATTTATGCTATTCTCATAGAAAGGGCCAAGTCAGGGTCATGTCTCTTGTCTAATGAATGTACTCAGTATCTCCATCCTCATACAATTTAGTGAAAGGAAATACAAAATCTACAACATCTGCTGACTATATTAACTTTAAGGATACAAGTCTCTTCATAGTAACGTAATATAGAAACTGTTAACTAATGAAAGTAAATGATATGCTGTTGTTGTTAGGTGCCGTCGAGTTGTAGACAACTCATAGTGACCCTATGAACGAAAGGCCTGAGCACTGGTCATAGAGTTTCTGGAAGCAAGTCATTTCGGAAGTGGATGCCACTCCTGCTTCCAAGCTTATTTTAATCGGGGAGCTCCACCGAACACTGTCCACCATGGGGAACCATTATAGCATTTGGCACATCAGTGTCACAGTGTTTAGCATCACAGCAACCACGAGTTACCTCTGTACAGCAAGTGGACAGACCAGTGTTGTACCACTTAGAAGAATGTTTGACAGAAAACCAATTTGAACCAGGCCTGAGGGCTACAGATTAAAATCACCCACCTTGGGCTTGGTAGCATCACTTTCTGTCCACTAGGCCAACCTAGCTTTATGTTGTCGTTGTTATTGTTGTTAGGCACCACTGAGTTATAGACGACTCATAGTGACCCTATGGCATCATACTTTGATAATGCAAGTAGTTTGGGGTTTTTGTTGGTTTTTTTTTTTAAAGTAGGCAATATTTGGAGAAGAGTATTGAATGTACCATGGACAGACAAGAAAACAAACAGATTCATCGTAGAGAGGATTAAACCAGGCTGCTCCTTGGAGGCAAGGATTCTGGCATACTTTGGACATGTTGTAAGGAGAGACAGGTCTTTAGAGAGGGACATCATGCTGGGTAGAGTAGAGGGACAGCGCAGGAGGGGAAAGACCCTCTATGAGGTGGATTGATTCAGTGACTGGGGTACTCGGGATGGGTGTGTCAGAGGCAATGAGATTGGCACAGGATAGAGCAGGGTTTAGGGCTGTTGTGCATAGGGTCACTATGAGTCGCAAACGACTCAACGGCACATAACAACAACAACAACAATGAACCCCGTACATTATTGTGCATTAAAGTGCGAACTTCTGTAACAAGAAATAAGCATAAAAGACGTAAATAAAAATGGGAACTGTAACTTCAATAACCGGAACATCTCTTTAAAATAATAGGATCCACAGACAGTCAGATTGATCCTAAAGTGGAATGCCTGCCAAGCCAAGAGATTATATCATCAATCTTTCATGAAAAATGTAGACCAAAATATGACTGCATTAAAATACATTTTTAAGGATTTTACAAAGAAAGTGAAAACAACAGGTAAGTACTAAATGTTTCCCTTCTTCGAAGCTGTTTCAGCCTAAACAATACATAACTATAATTTTTTAAAACTATTTATCGGGCTGTGTTCTTAAAAGAGTTAAGCATGTGGTTGAGCTAGTTACATTGCATCCTTTCTGGTACCTGGTCTAAGAAGAATGAGATGGACACAGTTGTTTATATGAAGTGGCATCCACTTCTATAAACAGCTTGCCTCTGGAAACCCTATTAACTTGGACAAAGGATGAAAATCACACAAGTGCCAAGGACTCTCGTTCATGGGGTTGCTATGAGTCGCCTACGACTTGATGGCACTTAACAACAACAACAACTATGTACTAGGCACTGTTGTTAGAGTAAGAAGAAGTGATTAACTTAAATATCATCACAGAACTTGGAGGTAGCTCACATAATTCTCCATAGTTAACAGGAGAATCTCAGACAGAAAAAAGTGAAATGACTTCACCAGGACCAGAGAGCCAGTAAGCGAAAGAAGAGATCTGGATCTACGTAGACTTATGTTTTCCTGATCGATCAAAGTAGAATTGGAAGCAGGAGTGGCATCCACTTCAGTAAATAGCTTGCCTCCGGAAACCCTATGAACCTGGAGAGAGGATGAAAGTCACGCAAGGGTCGAGGACTTTCATTCATACGGTTCCTATGAGTTGCCTACGACTCGATGGCACTTAACAACAACCAAAGTAGAAAAGTAAAGGACAATAATTGTAGGAGATTCTTTTTACTTCTTAAAATAAATTTGGGGATCCCCCCCGACCACCACATACACACTGGCTGGTCAAGTAAGGAGTATTAGTTTATAGAAGTCAACTGAAGCATGTTGCTTAATTTGTGAGGCTCACTTTTGGCATGAAGGGAATGACAATGATAATCTTACTTCACAGTATTGTAGGGAGGATTAAAGGAGGTTTTTAAAAGCTTCAGGACCGTGCTGTCACCTATTCAGAAGGCAGGAAATGAAATGAATTACATATGATTTTGTAGCTATGTATAACAAACATTTTAGCAGTATTGGACTCAGTTGGTTAATTTTTTTTTTAAATCTTTGGTACCAAAAACAAGAAAACCCCCAGTGAGTGTTTAAGCCATGTTGTTGTTATTGTAGATGATTGCTTTCAAGTCGAGCACAACTCATAGCGACCCTATGAACAAAAGGCCTGAGGCCTCTCTACAATTATCGACATTTATCAAAGTTCATAGAGTTTCTGGAGGCAAGTTGTTTAGGAAGTGGATGCCACTCCTGCTGGGTTAAAATACCACAAATGATAATGGTCATATCACAGAGCTGGACATACCCAATTCTGCTTTACATAAAGTTGCCCTAAACTGGGGTCGACTTGACGGCAACTAACCACAGTAATTTTACCCATAAATTATTCAAATCCAATGTCTTATTGCTTCCCTATTACAATATCTGGCAGATGTCAAACACATAGGCTGAAATGACATGAAATAAAACTGGTGACTGTATGATCTTTTGCTCAATGTGGAAGACAAGATGTAAATAATTTCCACTCCTGATCCCTTCCCCCTTATCAAACCATTGTAAAACAGTAAATATTTGGTAAATACTCCCTCTTAATCGAGATTGACAGTAATACTAATTATCATTATACTTTCTTGTACACTGAACATTTACTATGACCAAGTGAGGTTTTTGCCAACCTTCTTACTGTCTAGTATCTTATTTAACCAAATACAGATTGTTAACTTTATTCTCCTGACGAGAAACAGAAGCTCATAGAAGCAAAACAGTTTCCCCTGATCACACAACTAATAAAAGACATGAGGATTTAAATCTACTTCATTTTTACTCCAAATAATTTAAAACATTGTTATATGGAGATGTTGCATATCTTCTACTGAATTTAAAAACAAAATTAACATTTTTAAAATTTCTTAAAAGTCAAATGACAAGCTTGTTTTAGTTATGGCATGCAAGGTAATGATGCATTTGTAACTTTCTCTCTGAATAAGTTAAATAGGTTAAGTTCAGAGTTGAAGCAGGAAGACTGAGGAGATGAACGGAGCAAGTGTTAGAAATTGAAAGGTACATATTACATATGAGATTTTGAAACATTATAAATAATTAGGAAACTAATAAAATCCTTTCTTTAGAGAAACCTAATAAACATCACTCATGTCAAAGAAAAAAATCAGATGACTCACGCATGGGTTGTCAAATGAAACATGAAACGGAAATGTTTTATAAATAGAATAATTTCTAAATAGCAGTCTGGTTTAAGGATTATAAAAAAGGAGGACGACTTCCTATTCTTTGACTGTCAGAAATCTGATTCTAAATGAAAAGTCTAAGGCTATAAAAAGTCAGAATTTAAAGATACAACTACATTTCAAGTACTAAAATGCATAATTTTTATTTTACAGGAATTTCCCATTACCTATACTATATAGTAAAAAGCAAGAGTAAACCATAAACAGAATAATTAAGGGGGTAGCCAGAAGTTTTTGTTTTATTTTGTTATTAACTCTTATTTAGAGAATATTACTTATAAAACTATCTATATATATTTAACAAAAACATTATTATTTACAATTTATAATGAAACATAAATATTGGTAGATAATATTTATATTATGCATACTTTGCTGAGAATTGTTATAAAATTATATATATGTTTAGATATATGTATATATTTTCATGGATATATAAAAATATAATATTTAACATAGTATATAATATGGTCATTACAAAGACAGAAGAGGAAGAAAAGACCAAAATGGATGTCAGAAGAAACTCTGAAGATTGCACTGGAGCGTAGAGAAGCCAAAGCACAAGGAAGAATCCAAGACACTAAAGAGCTGAACAGAAGATTCCAAAAGGCAGCATGGAATGACGAAGCAAAATATTACCATGAAATGTGCGAGGAGCTAGAGTCAGAAAATCAAAAGGGCCGAACTCGTTCAGCATTTCTTAAGCTCAAGGAACTGAAGAACAAATTCAAACCTCGAGTTGCTACAATGAGATTGGCACAGGATAGAGCACGGTTTAGGGCTATGAGTCGCAAACGACTCGACGGCACATAACAACAACAACAAATTATATATAATATTATATAGTCAAATGTTGTTGTTAAGTGCCGTTGAGGGGGAGACGATTCAAAGCGACCCTATGAACGAAAGTCCTGAACACACATGACTTTCATTGTTTCTCTAAGTTCACAGAGTTTCCGAAGGCAAGCTATCTCGAAAGTGGATGTTGTCATTCCTG